AAGACTTACTCGTTTTCTTTCGCCCACTTGACAAACTAAGCAAATATGTATATTTATATACACTTGAAAGAGTCTTCGATAAAGTATACGAAATTGCCAACATTTTCACGCAACATGTTAAAAAGTTGAATTTAAGTCACACACAGAGTGAAAAAGTGCGGGCAAAGGAATGGGAATGAGAGAAAGGCGCGAGAGACAGGCGACAGTTTGCATCAAGGCCGAGACGTTGCGTATTACAAACACACACACACACACATACACATGCTCACACACTCACACACATATGCCTGTTTGTTTGTTGAGTCAGCTGCCGCCATTTTGTAACCATTTATCCATGTCACACAAAACGCACAAAGTGCTCCCAGCCCTCCCGTTGCTCACGCCCCTTAGTGCTGCTCCTCCTCCATCCTCCTTCGCCGTCTCCGTGAATGTCTCCTTCACATGCTCCTTTGCCGCACCCATTTGACTTCATTCTGTTGCCTTTGGGCTGATGAATTTTCCGCACGCTCTGCTGCTGTCTGCAAAGTTATTTTATACTGTGTCAAAATGAAGAAAACTCATCGCTTGATTAGAAAATTTTCATACAGATATGTAGCTCGCTTTCGTTGTTGCCTCTGTTGCAGTCCCTTTGTTGTTCGACTCATTCTCTCCTTGGGTCCGAGCAGCAATTAGGCAAATTGATGCCGGAGCTCAGCTCTCCAATGACTCTGCCCCTAAGTTGGCCGCTTGAAACTGTGGTTCCCTGCCAGGCTGAGGCGGCATTCACCCATAATTACATTAACAATTCCGAAAACATTTGCGGGCGTCGTTTCGGTTCAGCTTGGCTTGGCTCCGCTCCGCTCGGCTTGGCCGGGCTGGGCTGGGCTCCATCTCATGTAATGTCACTCACCGCTGGGGCATTCAATGTGTGACACACGATGCATATCCATTATTTAGAACGTGGTGCAAACAAGCAAAACAACCTGTGCCATTTGTAAGACGCAGCGGGCTGGCCAGCCACTGTAACAACCCACACACAGAGTCCCTCCCGCTCGCTCTGTCCCCTCGCAGCATATTTGGCGTATGAACTTGTTGGCTAACCTTGTATGCGAGTGGCATGCAACTAGCCGCAGGGCTCGGACGACCATAACAATAACAACAAGCAGTCTCTCCACAAAACAGCAGCGCATTGAAAAGCTGCACAAACAAGCTCGCATGCCGCATGCCGCATGCTGCATACTGCATACTGCATGCTGCATGCTACTGCAAGGGGTTGCCGATAATATGCGAGTTCTCGATAGTCATGGCCAGGGAAACTGGGCATTTATGCAGAATAGCGGACCCCAATAGACAAAAGCGGATGGAGCTCAGCTCTGTAATTAAAATTCTGGCCAGCTAACGGGGTACAGTCAAACAAAGGCTGCGATAACAAGCCAACAGTGAACTGCACGATATGGGATCTATTGGCAAACGCTTGTTGCGAATGCGCTCGTGTAATCGAGTTAATTACGCTGACACTGTGCATTTCAACTAGTTTCTATTTCTATGTGGCAGCACAGTTTGATTGCAGTTGACAGTAGATCGATGAAAAAGTTTGGCTAAATGTTTCAGTTAGGGAAATAAGAAATAAATAAAAGTTTCGATAACTTGTACAAATAAATTACTACTTTTAACAATCTGCAAACGACGATAATCACATGAAACAGCTCTGCGATAAGTTTGACACTCGAAATCCCGTTTCCAAATATTGTTAGCGATAACTTTGCCCCTCGACGCATTTCGATAGCAACTCGTAGCACTACGAGTTTCGAAGCTTTTACACATATTGCCTACATTTTCCAGGGAAATTTCGACTGTCAAAGTTGGGCGCTTGATAAATGCTAAGCAATGCAATGCCTGATTCGCTTTTCAGTTGGCAGTCAACTTGTTATCGCTGGCTGCCCAGCCCAAAACAGAGTGCAGTACAGTTGGCCCGGGGTCGGATATGTTGCACACATCATAAGTCACACACACACAAGCACTCACACACACATACATGCATAGACGATCACATTTACCGTATTGCACATTCTTTGCCACAGTCACAGCAGCAGTTGTTGCGCCTCATTGGATACCAAAATGGATGCCTGGGGAGCTCCGACAGCGGAGAGCAGAGAGAGGGCTATATGTGCTCTATGTATACTGTGTATTTTCGCTTTAGCAATTGCTGCTGTGTAGCGCCTGCGGTGGGAAACCGACCGAAAATGTCTGCTGTTCCAGCTGAATTGTAGATTTGGCCACTGCACGCTTGCCTCATATACATACATACATAGAGATATGTAGCTGGCATTCAGCATCGGTTGCATGCTCCAATATGCCTGCATGCACACACTTTAGAGACACGTTAAGGACCCGATGAAATTATGGCAGTCCATTTATGCGAAGTCCATTTAATGGCAAATCAAATTGCTGTAAGCGGCTTACTGCCTGCGCCCAGCCGTTGACAATCGCCTGTCGTCCAGGATTTCAGACAATAAACAAATACAATATAACGGCACCCGCACATAAATCACAAACTATTAAAGCATCGAAAGGTATAAACATAAAAAAAAGGACCGAGTTGGAAGAGTCGATATTGTCCGACTCGAAAACACTCTTTAGATGCAGCTCTTATGTAAAGAGTATACGAAAATATTGCATTGGAAGGTAAAATTTTTGTTTATTTTTGTTTTGTTTTTGAGGTAGTCATAAAAAAGTATTTATATTGAAAAAAAAAATATATAAAATACTTTGATAGTATATAATATACTAGTTGTCCCGGCGAACTTCGTACCGCCTAACAGTCTCTATATATATAAAACAAAGTAGAGTTTGTTACAAAACTTATAATTCGAGATCTGCTGCACCAATTTTCATGGTTTTTGATTTGTTGGATTTGTCTCTGCCCCGAATTGGAAACAGGCATTGTATTTTTGAGTGTTCGCTAGAAAAGTAGGGAACGCAATGGCTCTGGTGGCGGGACCACTAATGGCAATGTGCTAAGACACTTTTACACAACTCTCTTTTATATATATAGATATCATTAATTGTATATATAAGTAGTAAATATATTAAATATTTTGTTCCTTTTACATTAATTTATTGTATTTCACGTATCTAAAACTTTTTATAACTTTTTATAACTAAAAAAAAACTATTTTTTTGTTTTTGTTTTTTGATTTTTTTTTCATGTATTTCAATTAAATTATTGTAACTATTATTATTATTATTTTTATTATTATTAAATTTTTAGGATTTCATTTAAAAAATAAAAGTTACCTTTTGGTATACAATAGTACATTTAATTAGCCGTAGCTTCCATTTTCTTTGACCTATCATACCCGTTCAGAGCCATTCTAGAGTATAAGCAGCAATGGCATTTGGACACAAAAATCGCTGCGTTTCACTTTTCCGGACGGTTCGCTGATAATTTGCGCACATAAATTAACCAAAATTTTCGGCCGCACTACTGACCCTAACACACACACTCACATACACACACACAATCGCACGTTAGCTGAGCTTTGACTATTGGCTACCGTCTGCCGTCTCGTGGGTGAAATTAAAAATACTGCTAAATACTACTCGGCCGGCCCGGAATTGCTTTGTGTGTTATGGCCATTAGTGAGTGCAGGCTCGCCGTTTTAGCTGATATGCAATCTGTTAATTTCGGCCAGCCTTGCTGTGTGGTTGCCATTGATATCTGTTACCGTCCCACAAATAGCTTAGTCCGCCCTTCTCACTCTCTCTCGCTCCCCTTCGCTCAGCTGGCCATTTAAGCGTTGCGTCTTCATTGCGTATTGATGCGCCCTCATGTGAAATAATTGGCGCTGTTGTCCGATGGCGTTTAATAATTCATTGTCTATGTCTCCCTCTCTCTGTGTGTGTGTGTGTGTGTTTGTAAGCCAAGAGTCATGCTGGCGTTGCTGTCAAGGCTATTAAGTTGCGAGCTCAGTTGTCAGACGGCTTAACTTGCTGACTGTGGACTGAATCGCAGCTTAAAGGACAATCGTTTCAATACACCCAGGCAATTTACTACTCAAATGAAAAATTTGAAAGCTTATATCCATTTCTTTCTTTGATAAGCCATAATGGTAATCTTGTAATAAATATATCTTTAACAACGAAATAAATAAATAAGCTTACAAATTTTTCATTTGGAATGTTATATCTGTATGAATAGAATCCTAAGATCTTTATTCAGATCTTTATAGAATTTCTATGTTATTCAAATAATTATTTTACACATTTCAATTTCTTTACGAGTTCACTTTATTTTTGAATAATTTTTTTGTACAATAAGTTTTTATTATTTTCATTTATGTTTTTAGTAATATTAATTTTTATTTAGTTTTTATTTTCCACATGTACCATTTGATTCAGTTGTAAGATATTTGTTGTTAAAGTTTATTACATATATTTAAAATAGTTTGAAAATATTTCTCAATTACCAATTTCTGCTGCATCGGTTTTAATATAGGAACCTAAATAACCTTTCATTACTATTTGTTATTCAATAAATAAAATGTTAATTTTTGTTTTAAATATATGCTAAACACTAAATAAATGAGAAACGTGTTCCAAAAAGCTCTACATAATTAAAAATTAATTGCGAAATAATATTTTTCCTTTTATAAGTTTTAAAACTGATCACAGCAAATTTTCTAGAATACCCGAATCAACGAAATAAAGTAAACAGAACGAGCAGAATATTAAATAGGTTTTTTGTTTTCCCTTTTTTTTTATAGAACTACTCAATATTTCGAAAAGTTTGTTTTTTTTTTTGCTCTAAAAATTTATTTACATACAAAATTGGTTTTAAATATTTTGCTAAACTTGAACCAGATTTTTGTTTTATTTTACTTTAACTCTCAAAATTCGTTTATTAACAAAACATATTTATCTAAATTATTTCTTAAAATTTTTCTTTTCCTTTTTTTATTTTTTTATTTTTATTTATTTATTATTTTTTTTTTTTTTTACAAATTTTTAATGTAGTTATCTGACTTCATATTTCCTTTTATTTAAACTTTCAACTTTTTACAATTTATTTCATGTACTTAAAACGAAATGTTGAGCGTGTGTATGTCTCGCTTCGGTGAGTGTATGTGTGCGTGTGGGACTGTGAAGGTACATACAAATGTGTGGGTGCGTGAGGTGTGGTGTGTGTGAGAGAGTGATGGGCGAGCGTATGTATGTGTGTGTGTCTGTGTGTTGACGCTCTTTAGTTGATCTCTAAACGTTGCGCCTAGAACAAAGTTTTTCGTATTAGTTGTGGGCGTGGGCGTGTTTCATGTGGTTTTATTTTTTTAAATTTAAAATTAAGTTTTAAACTAGGCAACAAATTGAATTTGTTGAGTATTTTCTTTTCCCCAAGATAAGAGTTTCATTTCTGAGGCTCTATTTGTAGTTTATGTAATTGAAATTTCTAGTGGATATTCTGGGTTTTGTTTCTGTTGTTGTTGTTGTAGTGATTGTTGGCTGTTTGTTGTCTTTTTGGCATGCTTCTTACTACTTGCTAAGCAAAAGTTTTGCTCTTTGTTTCTTTGAGTGAGGTGCCTTAAACTTAAAGGACTTGATAATAGGAGTTCTTTGTTGTTGTAGCTATGAGCCTGCTGCTGCTGATAGAGGCAGACTACTTGGATATGTCTCGCTATATATATGTATACGGCCTACTTATCATGTCTTTCTAGACAACCTCTGTGCCCTGAAGTGGAGTCTGTAAAAAGCAGAGAGCAAAAACATGTAATATACAATTTAAACGTGATAAAAGTTGTGCAAACACATATTATTTTTAAAATAAACTAAAGTTTTGAGAAAAGTGAAAAGGTATTAAAAGTAAAACTAAATATTGTTTGTAACTATTCATTGAAAAAATACTTTTACTTAATATGTTAAAATGTTATATTTATATAACAATAAAAGACTTAAAATTCATAAAATTATATATCTACTTAAAAATAAATATATATTAAAAATATTATATATACACAAAAATAAAATACTTAAAATTCATAAAAATATATATGTATATGTAAATAAATATTCCTTTAGTTATTGGAATATTAATTGATAATTCAAAAATTAAATATAATTTGAAAAGCGTATTTCTATATAAGTAGATAAATTATTGTTGAAAAAAAAAAATAATAATAATAATAAATTTAGAAAGTTTTGCAAGCATTACGAATTTAAAGTGCAGACATGATAATGTAATTCTAAATTGCAAATCCCATAATTTATGGATGTCACAGAGAAGCCCGAAGTAATTATAAAATATTCAACAATAGCACAGATAAATAAACATAGATTTTCAACTAAAAATTTGCATTAATTTGCTTTGATTTTTTGATTATGCTAATTTTCAGCGCCATTCAGCCGCAATGCCAAATCTGGCTTAATCACATTTTGTTTAGCTTGGTATAATTATGCTTTTGTTGCTGCAGTTGGTGTAAAATTAAGTACGTTGATTAAAAATGGCAGCAGGTAGCCGAAAGCAAAAAATTAAATTAAATTTGAAATATTTTAGTAAATTAACTGCATTTATCTGCTGCCCGTTGTCCGTTGTCCGTTGTCTGCTGGCTGCAATGCAAATTGGCATTCAAAGCAAACGTTGACGCTTCATTTATGCAATTTAATTGGCCCTTTTGCTAGAATTGGTTAATTGGCCAATTGATATGGCCACATCCACGCAATTAGCCCGGCCAAAATGCTGTGTCAGCGAGCTGGCCAACGAAAGCAGTTACCGCGCTTTTGGTTTCGATTCATAATTTGATAATAAATTTAATTAGAAAATTATAAATTTGCAATCGAATGAAATAAATGTGCTAATAGGATGACAACAAATGTGGCCAATTATTTATGTTCGCCACAAGACTTACCAACTATTTGCTAAACGAATAAATTTGCCTCTGGCCAATGGTTTTATTGTTGTTGTTGTATTTTTCGCTCGCACGCCGCGTGTAAATAGTTATAAATAATTGAGGATAAATTGCGTGCAAGTTTTATCGGATTACGGTATTATGCATAAACACATTGTGCTAAGTAAAAATAAATGAGCTTGCCCGAATCCTGAATACACTTTGCAGTAATACCCATTACCCCTTACCCCACACTCATAAATCATATATATGATATATGATATAAATATTAAACTGTACTAATGTGCACCCAACATAGTTAACCATTTGGAAATGTTCTATTAAAATTATGAATTCAAAATTTCTGACATACAAATTATTTTTAAATTCACCGATTGTTTCAGTGTACAAGCAGGGAAAGAACTGGAGCGAAAAGTCGCGTAAAATGTCGGCTCTCGAACAGCTAAAGAGGGTGACGACTGTGGTCGCCGATACGGGCGACTTTGAGTCGATCAATGCCTACAAGCCCACAGATGCAACAACGAATCCATCGTTGATACTCAACGCCTCAGCAATGGATCGGTACAAGAATCTGGTGCTGCATGCAGTTGAGTATGGTAAGCATGTGGACGGATCTCAGGAGCGTAAAGTGGCGGAGGCCATGGATTATCTGTCCGTTCTGTTTGGCTGTGAGATTTTGAAAATAGTGCCTGGTAGGGTATCCACTGAGGTTGATGCCCGCCTATCGTTTGATACGGCGCAGAGTGTGGACAAGGCACTGAAACTGATTTGTCTGTATAAGACTTTTGGCATCCGTAAGGAACGTATTCTCATCAAGCTGGCCGCTACGTGGGAGGGCATTAGGGCGGCTGAAATCCTGGAGAAAGAGCATTACGTTAACTGCAATCTGACGCTGATTTTCTCCCTAGCCCAGGCGGCGGCTTGCGCCGAGGCTGGAGTCACATTGATCTCTCCATTCGTGGGCCGCATTTTGGACTGGCATATAGCAAACACGGGCACTAAGAAATTCGAGCCCGATGACGATCCGGGCGTCATATCAGTGCGTCAGATTTACAACTATTATAAAAAATTTGACTACAAGACGCAGATAATGGGCGCATCGTTTCGAAATACGGGCGAAATCAAAGCATTGGCTGGCTGTGATCTACTAACCATTAGCCCAGCATTGCTCCAGGAACTGGAAAATGATCAGAGCGAGTTGCCCCTTCAGCTATGTGAGGAGGCTGCCAAGCAAGCGAATGTCAAGAAGCTCTGTGTTTACGAGAATCGATTCAGATGGCTAATGAACGAGGATGCCATGGCCACAGACCTATTAGCCACTGGCATACGAAAGTTTTCATTGGATACGGTAAAACTAGAAAAGCTAATAACATCTCTATTCTGATTAACAAAATTTCACTTATATGTAGAAAACTACAAATCTAAATATTTTGTAATACCCATAAAATTATTCAGTCATAAATAAAACTTTTCTTCACCTCTAAGCTCACTGGCTCGGCATTTACATATGTAAGCACACACATACAACTATAATTCATAGCACATTGATATGATAATACTTCATTGGTATCTTTGAATATGATGATAGCAATTAACACTCAGATATTGGCCGCTGATCGACAAACAATGTACATATAGTGTGAACCAACTCAGTTAACGACATCTTCTACCGAATTGTACACGAATTAACTAGGCTTAGTTTATGCTTAGAGCTAAACAATTCATTTAATTTAAATATGTGGTTTCTTTCTCGGTTCGAGCTGTCTGCTTGTCTGCCTGGTCTTAAAACCTAAGTCTAACTTATCCATCTATGTACAACATTTAGCTCTAGCTTAGGCTTAACACTTCGTACGATCCGTTTCAGCTTAAAATCTCATATAGCTGAAATCATTCGGATTTGGCCCAGATGTCACCAACGACCCGCTTACCTCTTCCTCTATGGCTGAGCCGCATCGATTAATGGAGGCGTTCTTCTCCAGGCTAAATGTATCCTCTGTTGTCTTATTGTACGTGGGATTCGAAAAGTTCATTGTATTTCCGCGCTTTGGATATTGCCTTAATAGCCAATAGAAGGCCTGGAGAAGCACACGGAATTAGTTTTTCAATTGAAATATTATCAAAAGTTCACTATTTACTCACGCCTATGACTAAAGTTACGGATGCAACAGTTCCGACGATAACCAGTGCTATTGCTTTGCTGTTGCCCTCCGGTTGCTGCGCCGTCTCAGCGCTGTCTCCGTCCGTATGTGTTGTATTTACAGAGTTTCCAGCATTGTCTAAGCAAAAAATAAAAATAAATAAATAAATACATTTATTAATAAAGTTTTTGGTATAGCAAAACCCAAGCTGAAACCGAAACCAAAACCAAAACTAAATATAGAAGTACACATAAATAGCTAAAAATATGTTGAGATATGATGAATGAATAATGAATTCAAATTGAAAAGTTCTTTACCAGATTTGACAGTTGTTTTATTATAATATTTATTGTTTTGTTTATTGAAAATACTTAAAGCATTTAAATATATAAATGCATAAATCAATATATACTGGAATTGGAATTTCAGTTCACTTTTGGTCAGAAAACGCCTTTGAAATGAAAATGAATAAATGCAGAGTTTTCATCAATTTACAGCCACAGCTCATGCAATTAGATTTTTTTTGGTTGGTTTTGGTTTGTCCAACTCAAATATAATTAAAATATCTCGGTATTTTTTTTTTTATTTTTATTTTTTTTTGTTTGTGAGCTGCAGCGACAAAGTCGCCGACAACCCGTGGCGTATATTTCCGTTGTCACGCCACGCCCACGCTGTAGTCGGACTCCCGGACTGTTGTCAACTTTTTGTGTCACGCTTTTCGCCTTTTGTGAGTTTTGCTGCTGTTTTTGTTGTTGTCTGTGCGGTAAAGGAAGTTGTAGGATTTTTCCGCTGTCAACATAATTCGTTTTCATATTTTCCGTTTAGAATTTGTTCAGAAGTTAAGCGAGCAGGACACGGGACACGGGACACAGGACGTGGGATGCGGAACGCGGAACGCGGAACGCGCTCGCCTGGCAAAGGATGTGCCGCATTTAGCAGAGCATTGCACGAGCTGTCGCCTCATTTTATTGTTCGTCTTTTTTTGTTGTTTTTAATTTCTTGTCTAAAATATCCCTGCCACACAATTTCCATGAACTCAAGACTGGCCGCTGCTGGGGATCGCCATGAAGGAGAATGTGACGCATATGGTAACGCCAGCATTAAAAGTTGGCAGTGGCAACAGCTGCACAGCATCGATTGTCAGCACCAAATGGAGCGCACACACACACACCTACACACACACAATGCTCCCCTTAGGGGGGAAATTTTTGAGGTTGCGCAGCTACGTGGGCTTTAGCAATTTATTTGCGGCATTAACAGACAGTCAAGTGGCAAAAGAAAAGCAGTTGAAAAGCTCTACGCATATTTGCCACATTAATTGCACACTGTGTGTGTGTAAGTGTGGGTGTATGTGTGGTTGCTTTTGCTACATTACAAACAGAGCGGAATTCATTTTTTTCTATAATTTAAATTCGCCTTAAAACAGATATAAAAAGGTTACACAGCTGCTGTTGCCTGAGCAGATGAAGATGTTCTGAAAAGCCTTTCCGCTATTTATGATCCTGCATCCTTGTTGTTTCTTTCTTTGTCTAACGTCTTGAGCCAAATTGTTCTGTCTTAACAAGTCTTAACAAGACTCGAGTTTTAGGCAATAAACATAATTTTCTATGATGGAAATTTTAATATAAACTTTAGAGAATAGCGTAAAAAAATCTATATATATTTTTATATTCTACTATTATTTTAATAGCATAAAAAGAAGTTTATAGAAAACTTTGGAACAGTGATTTCAAAAATGATCTCTCAGCCTCTGTTAATGCCTTGGATTGTATTTTTTAATGCTCTTTTACTCTAGCTACATCACCATCTTTTGTACTTTTGACTTATAGATGCATGTATATATTTACCTCTACCTCTACCTCTACCTCTACCTCTACCTCTACCTCTACCTCTACCTCTTTCTTTCCTTCTTTCATACCTCTCACTCTCTCTCTTTCTTTTATTTGTCATTCTTTCTTTCCTATACCTCTCGCTTTATCTTTTACATTGCCCATCTCTCTTTCTTACTGCCTATCTCTATCTCTCTCGCCCCTTCTCTGTGTTTTCCCTTTCTTTATGCCTCATTTCTAACTCTTTACTTTCACTCTCCCTTTTTATCCCCTTCTGTTTTGCCTCTATCTCCCGCTCCCGCTCTCTCTCTCTCCCTCTTGATCTACCTCTATAAATCATCCCGTTTTCTCTATGTCTACTTGAATGTTCAGTAAATGTTTCTTTTCAGCTTCTCGCAAATTTAAATACATCAACTTTTTCGAGCAACATCTTGCGAGCTGCCCGTTGTTTAGCTGCTCCACTTTGCCATATTTTATGTACTTCCATAAATGTCATATATTATTGCCTCTACCCTAATCTATAGCAAATGCAATTTGCCTGCTTCGCAGCACAAAACAAAGTAATGTTCCCCCAATTTTTCTTGCCAACCCTCGACAATTTTTGAAATAATTCTCCACATGTGTTTTATATGATTTTTTAAGGAGCTCACCAGACAATGGCTGCCAGCAGGTGTGCCTCTGAGTGTATATATGAGGGGCTTAAGCGGGGTGCTCTTACTAGCCCTAAGGCCATAAAAATTCGCGACAAAAAGTTGCCCGTGAATGAATGAAATAAAAGCCCATTAAATGGGCGCTCAGCTTTACAATGTTTTTATTTGTACAAAGTGTGACCAGATTACTTAAATAAAGGCGGTTTATACATATACATATGTATATAATATTAAAAATTAAATATTTGCCAGGCCGTCCACCGGAGAGATGTCGAACAATGCTGACCAATTGCAGTCGTAAAATTGGCAAACAGCTGTTGACCCGCTTTCCCTGCGCACCACGCCCACTTTATATGGTGGCTATTAAAAAGCCAGTCGTTACATTCGACGGCTGCACAAGTTTATGGCGGTTCCGTGGCTCTCTGTCCATCTGTCTGTCAAGTTGTCCGCCGCGTATTTGCAGAACTTTGCCTGCGCTTAATTAAGCAATTTGAAGTGTGGCAGAGACACGGTGGGGCGGAGAGGAATGCGGAGGGGCAGGAAATGCGGCAACTGTGACTGTGGCTGAGTTGGCTGGCTGTGGCTATAGAAAAAGTAGCACAAACCGCTAATTGAAATTGCAGTTATGGCCGGCATGCCCGTTGCCTTGGCTTGGTCATCTAATTGAAATAGTCCTTAACTAGTTTATAGTTATTTACTTGAACCACGCCCCCATACCCTCACCCTGCCGGCTCTACAAACTTTGTCCAAAGTGCTCAGCACTTGCTGTGCTGTCCGTCCGTTTGTCCGTCCGTCTGTCCACGATTACCAACGTAGTGCTTAACTGCTCTCGTCATTTTCTTGGAATCCCATTTCAGATTTCTCCCAGTCTCTTTCGACCTGGCCCATTGGCCAATGTAGCATTATTTGCTTGAGCCGCTTAACGATTTATGCTTCTTCAACTTGCTTTTCTGCTTCTCCTTCTGCTACTCCTTATTCTTCAGGTCCTTTTCTATTTCTACGATTTCTGTGCTCTTACTTTTCAAATTGACGTAATTAGGCGCATTTTGTATGGTCGCCCACTGCTAAGCAGTTCATTTGTGCCGTCATAGAAGCCGGCAAGAGCTCGACAACAATGCTGGCCATGTTTATATATACACTATGGCCGAATGGCTGAAGACTGAAGATGATGGCCAAATAACACAAAGGGCGCAATTAAAAAGCATATCTAAGATTGAGCAGGAAATGATTAAAGTACTTGCCACACGAATAACTAAGCGGGATGGGCCGGGGATTCAGGGGATATTTCATTTAACTGACTGACTTAACTCGTTTTTGAAAGCTCTTAGGGACTACAAATTGACAATAATATTACAAATTTCGCTATGGTGTTATAAAAGGCGGTAGTATAAGAGAGCTGTAAGCTTGATGAAATAGGGGAAGGAATGCGGTCTGGAAGGTGCTTAAGCTAATCTGCATATAGATGGCTGAATCCTAATAAACTACATTTATTATTGCAAGTCAGCTGGCTATAAATATATTTTGACATCAACAAACATCTGTTTGGCCAGCAAGCTATTAATACAAGGCTTACACTTTGGGCTAAAATGGAAGCACGACTGCGACTTGGCGACAAATTGATTTTGTTTTATTAAGAATGTTGTTTATCAACATGAAACGGAAAACTGAAAAGCTAGAACCAAAAATGCTCAGCATTTTATTTGCATACATCGAAAGTAAATATTTTTACGTGTCTCTCTCTCTCTCTCTCTCTCTTTCTGGTTATATGTTGTTGTTGTTGTGTTTCCAGAATATGTCATGCAAATACAAATTGTTCGCCTTTTGTTGCTTGTGTTGCTTTCATGTCATGTTATCAATAGATAAAGCCAGATGTTTTTGTTGTTTTTCTCTTCTTTTCCTTTTTGTCTTGCCTTTTGATAAATTTGAAGCGGAGCTGCAATCTAATTGGACTGATTAACTGTTGCAGAGTTAATCAACTGGAATTGCATGATAGATCGATGCTTGCACATTTGGCATGCGTCTGCTGCATACTTTTTGCAGGCACTGTGTAAATTTATGCAATCACCCACCCATTCATCTCAGTTGGCCCTGGCCCTGGCCCTGGCCCAGGCCCAGGCCCAGGCACAGCTGTAGGTGTTGACAGTGCCAATTTTCGCGTTGATGAATGTGGCTGAGTGTGTGGCTGTTGCGGATGATGAATTTCTGGTTAAACTATTTGCCCCACCAGAGCCCCCGGCTCCCCCTCAAGGGTCGCACAGCCCAATCGGACCTTTTAGCCGCTGTTGTCCATGTCGTTTTGTGTACAATTTAATTTCATGGCGATTTGTTGAGCGAGGACAACGATGAGTACAAGTCAGTCAGACAGCCAGCCAGGCCGTCAGCCAACTGCCACTCATATATCACTCGCATTCACATCCGCACTCGCAATTCGTATTCGCATTCGCATTCGCATCCGCATCCGCAGTGTCAACGCTTTTGACAGAGAGCTGGCGCACAAATTGCATGCAGAAATTCGCTGGGTAAGTGTCATAGGGTTGTCGCTTAAGCTTAAACAGCCTTTGAGCTTTGGGCATGTGTGCGAGTGTGTTAGTGTGTGTGTGTGTGTGTGTGTGCGTGTGTGTGTGTGTGTGTGTGTGTGTGGCAGGATCATGTTGTGGGTGGCTTCCATTGTTGCCATTAAACATGTCACTAGCGTTTCCTTTCTGGTGGTTTATGCTCCACCCAACCCACAACCGCAATATTTCTGTACGTTTTACGTGAAAGCCCGCAAAATGGTTGAGTATGCATGTGTGTGTGTGTGTGCGTGTGTGTGTGTGTGTGTGTGTGTGTGTACGTATCAGTGTTGCCAGCTGTTGAGCCTTGAAATAGTTGATTTGTGGATAAAAGTAGGGTAAAGCTAAAAGAGGCTAAAAACGGCTATAACAAGCTTAAAATATGGGAATAGCGTGTTGGATGAAAAAATGAAATGAAGCAAAATACAAAAAAATGTAAGAAATTTTTAATTATTATAAAATAATTATCAAATAAAAATCTGTGATTTCATAAACATTTCGCCACTTCTGTTTCCTCTAAATATTTCCTTTAAGTATTTCTTCTAAGTCTAAGTATTTCCTCTAAGTATATACATTAAATATTTCTTCTAATTGTTTTCTCCAAGAATTCGCTATAAGTATTCCCTCTCAATATTCCCTTAAAGTATTCCCTCTTTGTTCTTGCTCTAAATAATTCCTCCTAGTCTTTAGTGCTGCCTTGAAAGACCATTAAATATTTGCACTCACTTCACTTCACTTTGCTGCACTTCACTTTGGTGCACGACTCACCCCACAAGGTCTGAGACGACTGAAGAAATGCTTCAGCTGCTGCCCTTTATATAGGGCGATCTTTACTCAAACACGGAGTCGCTCTCAAATGCTGGGCCCGACGCCAGGTAGAGATCGTGTCTATTGAGCTTTGATTGACTAATGAGAGCACTTTCTGCTACTGTCAGCATTCTAGCATCGTTTTACTTCAATATAAATTCCGAATGAATACTGCTGCATATACATAGACAACGTAAATGAGCTTCTGTTGTTCTTCTTCTGAGAGATGGACAGGTATAAAGACAGTCATACGAACACTTATATAGACAAACAAACACACATAGTTTAGTCGGACTACTTCATTTTGCTACTTAGGAATATAATGCTGATATGATAAATATTTACAATACAAATTTTTAATTATTAGATGACATAGAGAGCAGTCTCTTCTATTCCTTAGCTCTCTTAAGGAATAGGACTTCAGCATACTCTGCCTCAATTTCTGGCTATTCTAACCGAAGTCATTTTCAATGGATTGAAATAGGCTAGATCTAGCCGGAAACAGGCTAAGCTGGCAGCACTGGTGTATGTGTGTGTGTGCGTCTGTGTATGTGTGCGTGTGCACGTGTGTGCATTTTGAGTGATTATGTCGATATCATTGATGTTGATTTATGATGATGACATGTGAGTGTTGGCGCTGCAAGAAAATCGGCGTGACAAATGGCCAGAATTAAAGAGAGAGAGAGAAAGAGAGAGACAGACAGAAAGGTAGAGAGAGAAAGATATAGGCAAAAAATATGTAGAGAATAAACAGCATTTACATACGCATAAGCGTAGTGTAAATAATTCGTGGACATCAAAATATGGCATTCAGTTATGGCATAGCTAAATCAAGCATTTAACAAATAGATGAATTATGATAAACAATAAAAAGTAAACAACAATAGCCAGTAATTAGCATAATCTATAAGGGCAGCAAAATATCATTAATAGGGCTAATGTGATGGATTATAATTAATACACACAATAAACAAAACCTGAGCAGACTCGATGCTGAAAGATGATCGATTGGTAAATACTCTATGCACAGAATGTATATATATATAGGACCGTAAATAATATATGAATATATAAATCATCCGACACCATTATTATAGCTATATTCCTAAGCAAAAACTCCAACACCTCTGAGAAAAAAAAATATATATAGCTCATACCAGGCGGTAAACTGGGCGCATCTTGAGGTAGTTTGGCGAGTGTTCGGTTCGGCTGCGCGACTTTGACGCGTGTCGTCGTTGTATTTAAGCGCCGCGTGGGCTTAACTATGAAATCGGGTTAAAAGTGGGCAATTTGAATAAATGTAAAATTAAATTAAATGAAAATCATATTGAAATGCAAATAACAAAGGAGCAGATGTTAAAGGCCTTTATGAAGGCTCAGCTGCATTCTCCTGTGATGGCTGCAACCACAGCAAGGACACGTCGCCATGCAACCGCGACTGCAATGGACAATTACAGCTGCAGCTGTGTCCATCGGTTTGGTTTGCCCAAAGAGCACTAATCCCCACACTCGGGCACAAAAAGAAAGGGTAATTGGCAAAGCTACTTACGATCCTCGACGCACATAAGGCCATCCGGCATAAGCTTGAGACCTGTGGGACAGGCGCAGGAGATGCGCGGACTGCGCTCGTTAATGCGGGGCGCAGGCAGACAGAGATGCGAGCAGTGTCCATTCACGGACTGACAGTGATTAATGCCATCGGGCTGGCGATACGGATGATACACATGGATGACCATGGGATGCTGCAACTGTGAGGAGCGGTGAGAGAAGAGATCGATAAGTACAGAAGAGAATCACTTGATGTCATCCACCTAGGGCTTACCATGTGCACTGCCGTGATGGGCTCTACGTCTTCTCCGGTGAATTTGTTGGCCTTGAAGACCGTCTGCTTGTCCCAGTCGGTCCAGTAAATGTAGTCCTCGAAGGTGGTGATGGAGAAGGGATGCCGCAGATACTCCGTCGAGTACAGGATCTGTCTGCGCTGCGAGCCATCGTAGTTGGCCGAGGAGATGATATTCAGCTTGCCATCCACCCAGTAGATGCGCTTCCTCACCAGATCCAAGGTGATGCCATTGGGCCACTTCACGTCATAGTTGATGATCGTTGTGCGATGGGATCCATCCATGCCGGCGCGCTCGATGCGCGGCGAGGCACCCCAGTCCGACCAGTACATCCAGCCCTCGATGGGATCGAGCGCAATCGAGCGAGGTATGTCGAGCGCATCCTCAATCAGAACCTTGCCCATGTTTCCATCAAAGTTGGTCAGCTCGATGGTGCACTTGTGGGTGTCTGTGTAGTAGACATGGTTGTAGATCCAGTCGACGGCCAGGCCATCCGAGGTAACCGACGACTTCTTCAGCACGACAGTCTTCTCGTTGCCCTCGTCGATGGGCGCCTTGTAGATGCTCTGTGTGTTGACGTCGCTCCAGAAGATCATGCCCGTGCGGAACACAAAGTCCAGGGCAGTCGCTGCCTTGGTGTTGTTCACGATGGACGTGATTTCCATGTGATCCAACGCTATCTTGCGTATGTCGTGACGTCGTGCGAGCAGGAGCGAAGCGTGTCCTTCGGTTGCCTTGCAGCGCGTGCGATTATGTGAATCCCTCATGTAGCCCGCTTCGCATTCGCACTTGAAGCCGCCAACTTCATTAACGCAGATCTGGGAGCATACGCCAGGCTCCTCGCACTCGTTGATGTCCATGCAATGATGGCCATCGCTCGTCAGCTTGTAGCCAGCGTGGCACTCGCATCGGTAGCCCACCGGCTGATCAACACAGCGGTGCATGCAGCCGCCGTTACGTACCTCGCACTCGTTGATGCCACATTTGTTCGCCGGCTCATCCTCGCCATCGGGGCAATCCTTGCGCCTGTCACAGACCTGCGACAGGGCAATGCACTGGCCGCCGCCACAGTCGAATTGGCTGGTCGCATTACAGCGCTTCAGCTCGGCCGACACGCGGCAGTCGCGCTCATCGCTGCCATCGCGGCAGTCCCTCTGGCCGTTGCAGGTGAGGTGTCCGGCAATGCAGCTGAGGTCATCGCACAGGAACTGATCCGGCCGGCAAGTCACGTTCTTGCAGCTGGAGGCGTGCTCATCGTCGCCATCGGGACAGTCGCGATCGCCGTCGCAGACCCAGCTCTGGTGCAGGCAGGTGATGCGATCCTTGCACTGGAACTCGTTCGGCTGGCAGGGTGTTATAGTCTGGGAAACAGTGCCGCAGCCCTACGAGAGAGAGAGAGGGAGAGAGAGAGAGAGAGGGCAAGATTAAGTACAAGTCAGTGTGGAGTAGACAATGAAATGGCTTGTCTGCTGTGCGTAGCTGGCTTTAAATGCATTTTACACAGCGCCTGTCAAAGGGGAACTTTGCTCGAAGTATGCCATAAAAAGCAGCTACTGTTGGGATTACAGGCACGCACACACACATACATATAGAGGATGTAATGTACTCTTTGCATAAGGACAGCTGCCAGGGCTTTTATATCTTTTGTTGCATACTATCACAGGCGGGAGCTGGCGCCCGAAATTGTTCACATTTTATGCGCATAGCTCTTCATGCTACTATACCCTGTGGCTTATGCGAGTGGGTGAGGCAGTGTAGTGGAGTTACGTGGAATTTGGTGCAGGGTATCAGCTAGTTGGGCAGCCTCAGCTGTTCTGCTCTACTTGTATTATTTTTTTTTGGCAAGCAATTTTAGACATCGTTCGGCTCTCTGCTGCACACACATTAATGTTGACGGCAGCTTCGAATGTTGACGTCGACGACGGCAGTGTTGGGAAATGCGCGTGTGTTGCATAATTTATGATTTACGGGCAAGCATATAAAAATGAATATTGTAAGCGAGGGCCGCTTCGAAAGTTCTACCAGAGAGAGCTCTGCTTGAAATGTAAAACAATTTTCTAAATTGTTTTGCTTGGGATTTTAATACATTCGCTTCGGCTACTTTCTTAGCATTTGAAAGTATTTTGATTAGGCCTTACGTATGTCTAATTTGATCTAATTATAGTTTTAATACTGTTTAAATAATATAAAAAAAAAAAAAAAAAACTTTTCTTATGTTAATTTACATTTTTATTTTCTGCTTGGCAAACAAATTGTGGGGCAGCCCTCACTCTCACTTTTTTCTGTCCTGCCATGAGATTGAGATTTACTTTAAGACTAATTTTATAGACTGTCAAAACTTACGCGCTCATCGCCGCCATCCTCGCAGTCCTCCTCGCCGTCGCAGACCCAGGCCCTGGTGATGCAGGCGCCATTGCTGCAGCTGAATGAGGTGTTTTTGGGGCACTCGACCTTGGGGCAGGCGAGCTCATCGCTGCCATCGCCACAATCGTTATCCTGATCACAGACCCAACGCTTCTGGATGCAGCGGCTATTATTGCACGTGAACTCGTCCGAGCGGCAGGTGATATCTATGATTCAATCGAGGTGTATATTAGAGATAGTCTGTGTGTGTGTGTGCATATGTGTGTATGTGGAGGATTTTGCTGCGTGTACTTATGGGAATGTGTGCTTCTGTTAACATTAGTGCTATGGTTAACTACAGTCGAGAGTTAGGTAAACAATAACAAAAAAGCAGCGACCGCAAAAGCAACTGAAATATGCGGGACATAACTCAAGAAAACCAGCACCATTAAAAAAATTGCCAACGCGTTCGCGTCAGGGGATAAAAACCAAAAAGATTTGTTGCCACAACAGCAACAACAACAATAGCAACAATAACAATAACAACAATCACCAACCACCAACTACATCTATGCAACAAAAGCATTGCAAAACTAAAGTGTGTAGCTGTCTGTCTCTGCTCGCTGTGCGTGTGTGTGTGTGTGTGTGTAAATATTTGTGCTCTATTGCAAGTGTATTGTTTAGGTAAGTATTACACAATACTTGCAGCAATGTGTATCATACTTATGGGCAACAAGATGAAGTATGTACAAACACACACGCACACATACTCAGAGAGAGAGCACTAGAGCACACACTATTACAGCTAAAGCTTTAGTTACAGTGTACAAGCAAAGCACAGTTAGGTTTGGAAACATTTCTTTAAGTCTGGCTTACTACAAGTGGCCTCGTCGCTGCCATCGCTGCAATCTTTGCTCTGATCGCACATCCAGGCAAGAGGAATACACTCGCCCTCGCCGCTCTTGCAAGCGAACTCGTCCGGGGAGCACGTTTTGCTCTCTGCAATATACAAATAGATGTTGGGAGTCGTATGTAGTTAGTGCGGAGTTTGATGATGGGATGCAAGAAAACAGATGTCGCGCCCGATTAGAGTTTGATGTCTATAAATATAGTAAAGTGTATGAAAATCGAGTTCTCTTCTTCTACTGCGAGTAAAGAAGATATTCATATAGTTGTTTATTTGCGCTTCAGCTTTAAATTTAATTATGTATTTATTTATTATATTATTATTTTATATACGATATATAAATATAAATATCTATATGAAAACTATTTTGAATAGTAGACACAAAAATAAATTTAATAATTTAATTTTAATAAAATAAAATTATATAAATTTGTTTAATTAAAAAAAAAAAATTATTTTAATAAATTTAAACAAAAAATAATAAAAAAATATAATAGTTTCTATTTAAAGCAAAATTTGTAATTGCTTTATAATTTTGAATTTTTATTCTTTAAAATATAAAAACAATTTATTGTTACATATATCGAAAACCAAAGAAAACTAGAAACATGACAAGTGGGCATGCCCGAGGGAAGCATATCTCGCTGCACACAGCCAAACCCACACCCACACACACACTCCCATCCACATATGAGCAACAAAATAGCTGTAAAAATTGCCTAAAGATAAGCTGAGTAAAATTTTGGCAAGCTCAACCCATGAATGAGGGCGGTAAAAATCAAGTGCCTGATAAACTGCCTTACAGGCCTCTTGTCTTTATGTCGAGTGGCTTCTAACTGTCTGCCTAATGGTGTTGCTCAGCTGAATCTTTGATTGCTGTGGCCATGGCGCTTTAAGAGGCGACGCCTTTAAGTATGCGACAGACTTAAAACGCGACTTCCTGTGCTGCCTGGCACAGTAATTAAGTTTATAAGACGTACTACTGGCAGCAGCGGCAGCATCAGCGGCAGCAGTTGAAATTGAAGTTGAAGTCCAATTGTGGCTGGCAAATGCCAGCTAAGTAATAAACATAGTTGTCATGCCAACACCCACACACACACACACACGCATGCACACATACATACGCTTTTAAAGATATGGGGCAACGGGAGCTGAAGTTAAGCGAGCGGCATTTTATCTAGGCAGTAATTAAGACATTATCAGCCAACACTCCATAAAGTTAAAACGCACACATGCGTACGCATTAAAGCAATTATCACACACAGCTAAATGCGCACACACTCAGACCCACACACACATACACAGACACACGCCTGCTGATATAGGCAGCGAGCTTTAGCCTGAAACTTTCATGGAAGTTTTGCCAGACGTACAACACACACACACACACACGCACACAATCGCCACACCCACATATAAAAACGCTTGTGTTTAACCCTAAATACGTATTATTTTTGTCTTGGTTTTTGTGCTTGTTGCCCGCTGCTAGGCGCGTGAACTGAATGTCCTTTGTTTTGGTGCGGCTACGCTTGATTTTTCTTGATAAGATTATGTAATTCCTGCTGTGTGTGCCACAGACTATAAAGGCTCATAACTCCATATCACACACATGCACACATAGTCATATATGTATATATAAATGTATTTATATGAATATGCTTTAGCTGCCTGCTTACAGTTATTTGCTTTGCGCCAAAAAAAGCATTTTTTTTGCAATATTTTTCCCTTTTCCATTTTTCTATTTTTTTTTTTTGTATTTCTGTTATTTTTTTGTGCGCTTCAACGTCGTTGCAAATAAATTAATTTATTATTATTTTACGCTTTGTTGCCTGATATTATTTTTGCATGCGCAACGTGTCGTATGCGTGATATGACTTAAATTGGTATTTATTGCAGTTAGAGCGCGCGCACGAGCGTGTTCACACATTTTCCTTGTTTTGCCAAAAGAATTCAACAGGAACGTGAGACTGGAGTGTGTTGAAAATTGTTTGCGATATATAGAAAAGCTAACACAGACTTGCATAGCTTGTGTATAAATTCAAGTAGCCTGTTTAATATATTTCTTTGAGCGCATTAAGTATTAAACGGCAATATTTGCTCAGCAGCTAAAGAAGCCAATATTCGTTTAGCTCAGCAAAGCTTAAAATTAGAAGGTCCATGGCGCGGGAAAGTTTATGAACGAAAAACACTTTAAATGAATAGGAAAAAGTCCATTTTCACAGTGCTCATAGAGTGAAGCGCGGATATTTGCCAATATTGCGTATACGCAATGTTTCATTAGGTATGCTCTTAAGCTTGCCAATGGCAGCGTGAACTCTCTACTTTTATTCTCTCAATTTAAAAGCCACTACTATGACGGTCACTAAATGTGGCCAAGCAGCTGGCGTCAAGTCCTCAAACTTCAGGTGAAGGTGAAAGAGGCTGCTGCAGTCTTGGTGTGGCTTCACCTGGCATAAGCCATAGCAAAATCAATTTGTTGCCTACAATAAATAGCTCATAGAAGCTTGCAAAGTGTAGGCACACTCACATATGCACACACACACACACACAGACACGCACACAATCGCACATAACTTTCGTATTGTTTTCAATAGCATTTTGCTGTTATCTGCCAAGTCAAGCCTTGGCTCCAGAGCGACTCTGCTAGCAATTTTTAATTTTATTTAAAATGCTTTTAGTTTATGTTCGAGTCGCTTAGGTGGAACTTTCCCCATTCGTGCCAGTCGACGTTCAGGCTCTGCACATCAAAGACATCAAAGCCAATGAAGTTTGATGCCTTTGCTCGGCAGCAGCTAGTTTTCTTATTTCTTTTCCTTTCTTTACTTTCTCACTTTCACAATAAACTAAAATTGCACAAATCTAATAATAAAAAGTCGATTTTCAATTCGTTATCGAGAAGCCACAAAAAGTCGCATTGTGAAGGTGGAAGAATGGCAAAGCGGTTGACAGGGATGAATAAATAATTTATAGGGAATTGTCAAGGATTCATTATATGAATTTTCAAGTAATAATAATTGCATCAATTTACGAAATAAGAAATTTTGCTTATAGCTTAGCTACATTAAAGTTCTAGTGGTTAGCTCTGAATAGGAATTTCACGGGAATCCAGCCAAGATGATGGGAATAAGAAGGAAAACAGTTTCATACGAACAACTCATTGTCGTATTTTGTTATGAAATGATCTCAATTCATAAAATTCTTGGAATCTCGTTCAAAATATTTGTATTATCTTTTGTGTATGTTAAGCAGCAACGTGGGTTCCATAGAAAAATGGCATGATAGTCGATTTTTATGTTTGGGGCACGTTAAACTTCAATTAACATTCACAACGTTGACAACGATAAAAAAAAACAAGTATCGTTGAAAAATACATTTTTTTTGAAGCGTATAAAAGCCATAAAATGTCACACGTGTTCAATGGCGAGTGGAGCATGAGTTTGAGAGCAGGGCAACGAGTATCCTGCGAATCCTCTGCATGCTCAATTCCTGTGTAGCCGTGCGCTGCCAGTCAGTTTGGCAGCAAATAAACCACAGGCAGAATTTGCACGCGACTGTCTTTAGTATATATGTATGTGTATATATGCGTATATACGTATATATGTGTATGTATCTGTTTTGATTACCAGTTTTTATTTCCAACAGGCTTCGCTGATGAGTTACGAGAGGATAACATCATAAAAATCTCATCATTTTTTTCAATTACAGCGCGAATGCACAAAGAGAATAAAATGCGAATAATAAAAAAAAAAATGTCAAATTTTATGTGGCATAAATAGTTAGCCGAATGCAACACAGACTATAAACTGCCAAACAAGTTGCCGCGAAAATTGCGGTGATTCTATGATAAAAAGGTTTCCAGTTGAGCTGCTTGTTTGAGGGGGGATTATGATGAGATTATGCTGAGGATTATGATGAGGATTATGCTGAATAATGTATTGAAAATATTCCTATTTAACTCTGGTTATTTAGGAATATTTATTCACTAATATAATTGTCCTGAACGAGTGAAAGTTGTTTCACCTATTCGCCTATTTATTTTTACAGGGTATGCGAATTAGCTGGGCATTACATTTTGTTGGGCTTGTTAATGCATAAATACAAATTATTTCCGCTGCTGGCAGCATTTTTGATGCGCACGTCGCGATGTTTTTGCGTAGTCCTTTGACGTTAATTTATGGACAAGTCGGCCCACGTCGCGTCGTGGGAGCCTCCGCCCTTAAGTCGTAAAGTATGAGATACATGGCGAATATACATGCGGGGGTCTTGGGGGGAGCGAAGCGGGCAGTGGATATACATGGCATGCATTCAAATAAATATCATGCTTTAAATGCGACTTTATGAGACTTTAAGTTATGAAATCCATTTGCGAGTGAGAGCGTTTCTTATTTTTGTATTTTTTTTTGTTATGCCTCAAATTGTTTTTTTCTTCTTTCATTTCTTCTGTTTTTAGTGGGCCAGCGTAAATCCTCCTGGGTTAGTAGGTACATGTGCAAATTTAGCTATAACTTTTCTGCTTACTACACTCTAATTCGTCGGAGCCATCGCGACAGTCGGGGTCCCCATCGCAGATCCAACTGCGCGGCAGGCACTGCTCCCCATTGTGGCATCTGAAGGTGAAGTGGTTGCACACGTTCACTGCACAATCCGAGCTGAAATTTGAGCAACCCAATCCCACGACAATAGATAAGAGCATAATACTTACTGCAAAGACCGGGTGCCTCATCCGAGCCATCGGCACAGTCGCTCTCCCGATCGCAACGCCATTTGTTGGGTATGCACTTGCCGTTGTTGCACCGGAACTGTTCAATGCCGCAAGTGGATTCTGCAAAAGGTACAAAAATAAACATATATTGAAAAATCCTTGCTTTCAATATGGCAGCCAGTTTTACACCGCCTGCGGAGCCATACAATTCATGTGAACGTCGGAGAGCGTTGCGCCATGGCATGGACCACTTGAGCATACTCTTCAATAAATGTATTTTATTTTCTAAATTTCAAAGTATATTGCAGGTGCTCCACTCTGACTTCACATCAATTCTATATGTATAATCTATTGATCTAAAAATCTAATAAACTTAACCTTTTTTCTATGCCAAGTTTCATGTCTGCTGCATTTTGAAGCACAGAAATCAATATATATTTATTCACATACTTACATACATACATGCATACATACATACATATGTATCTGTGCAGTGTATATAAATTCAACTTGTTCTTTGTCCTGCTTCAGTACCCAACTTGCCCAGTTACAGGGTATACAAAATACTGATAATGGCCTGCCACTAAAAATATGAGGAATATGGGCGTGGAAAATCAACTTTTTTTTATGCATCAATAAGTTTCTGTGTCAAAAATAAATGTGATTTTTATGTTGCGGGCTGTGTTGATGCCACAGGCAACAAAAACTTGCCACTTGCTGTGCTTCTTTCTCTCCCTATGTGTGTGTGTGTGTGTGCGTGGGAGGGGAGGAGCAGTGCGAGTGTGAGTCTTGTTACTTCCTTTACTACTGCCCAGCGTTCTTTGGCTGTTCTTTTGTTTTATGCCATCATGAAAAAAAAAAAAAAAAAAATAGTTTCGTTTTGCCATTTTATGGCCGTTTTATTTTATGGCTTTGCTCGATTTGCAAACAAAACTTTAAAGCAGAGTTTAAAGACAAAGCGAATGGAAAACTCAGATATGGAAATCATAGAAATCCGCTATAGAAAGATTTTTTTATCAAAGCGAAAATTTGAATAATAATAAAGGTTTTAATTAATTTAATTTTTGCCCAACACACTCAGCTGATTTTCCTAAGCCAACTTTTACGGCTTCCGTTCATGGTTTATGCTCCAGATTTTGAGATTTAAGATTAAATGCTATGCAAGACAGCCTCATAAATATACGAGTACAAATGGATAGTATTTGAGTTGTGTTCGCAATTAAAGCGATATAAATCCATTAGCATAACTACAAATGGAACCGAAAACTTTGCCAAAACTGCAACAAAGTTCTCATAGGCAACTTATTCTGGTGCAACAAAATTTTCTTAAGAGCTCAGCCGGCGAGCTCTATAATTTAGTCAAGTTGCCATCGGTGAGTGCAACAAACAATTTGCTTGACAACTATTTTCACAGAATTTACGCTTTTCCATTCCATTCCATTTAATTTATTTTTTAGTTCTTTGAACAGCTTAAGAGCAGAGCGTGCTGCAGCTCATCTGCATATTGTTGGCTAAAATGTTGCACCTTTTAGCACCGACTGCACTCAATTTAACGCTGCAGCGAAAATGAATGAATGAACGAATGCGCCCTCGACAGACGTTTGAGAATTTGGCTGAGCTTTAAGTCCAATGATGCCAACTAGAGCGGGGAGGCGGGCGAGCAGCTCCGTCGTTCCCTTTGGACCCGGCTCAGGCTGGCCTGGCAGCCATAAACTTTTGCGCAACTTTTGTGTGTGTTTCTCATAGAGCCCCCCACGTCGACCCTTTCCGCATTGCGAAAAATGCGCATCACGTTCTGCGTTTGGGGACCTCGCAACGCTCCTAACGTATTTACCTAGCGGCGGCATTTACCGCCGACATTAAACAAGGATCGAGTCGGAAGTCAGCCGCAGTCAGTAGCTGGATAGCTTCTCGTCTAGCATCTAATGACTAGGCCCCATGTGGCGCATGAGCATGAGCAAGGGTAAGAGGCGGGGCATGGGATGGGGCATGGGGACTTTTAGTTGAACATTTTCGAAATTAATGAAATTGTCATAATCAAGTCTTCTGGCCGACAAACTCAAAACTCGTTTAAGGCAACGGCTGCGGGATCGAGCTGTGTGTCTGGAAATGCATTTGAGCTACGTGTTTAATTATTGAGCTGTCTTTGGGAATGAATATTTCATTCATTTGAAAAACGAAAAGTTGCGAAAACATGTTTTTCACGGTTGGCTCAATAAATCCTAGACATTTCTATATGTAGTGCCTCAGAATTAAATATTATTTACTTGGTAGTCATTTCATTAAATTAATTCAGAAATTACAAAAGATTTGTATTAAGATAAATATTTAAAAAAATAAATATGTATACTTTTTTTGTAAATAATTGCAATTTTTTTTTTAAAGTTTAATAGTTGCACTTTTATAATTACTGAAATTAACTTTGAATTTTTTTGCTCTTACATTTGAAAGCGCAGAATATTTATTTTATATATATATTATATATATATATTATTTATTTAATTTATTATTATTATTTTTGTTTATTTTCATTAAAAAATTTTTTTTTTTTTAAATTTATTTAGACAATAAAAAAAATTTACTTATTAGAAATAATAAATTTTACTTGTTTTTAAGTATTTTTGCAATTCAACCTGACCTTTTCATTCATGTATTGAAATTCATATGCAATCAAAATTTTGTTGTCCAGTGTAGTTGAATATAAATGGAGTCTGGTGGTGGAAATATGATATTGCATATTAACGAGAGGCTAGACTTTTTGCCAATTTTCGAGCTCCCTTTTCTGTTCTCCCACTCCCATTCTCGCCCTCTTATTCTCTCTTTGTCTCTCTCTCTTTCTCTCTGTTTGTGTTGCTTTAAGCTAGCCATAAAATTGTGTTTGCCAATGGCAAAGTCTCTGCCGCTCAATTTCCGAGATTTTTGTTTACATTTTTTTCAAGCTCAATTTTCTCTTTATGCGTAATTATTTATTTATGACTTAATAGACTGACAGCTGAGGCCTCTAAATGTCACATACTTCTAGCCAAACTGACATTCTGTGTGTGTCATTCAATGCATAAGCAAACAGACATTGGTCTATGCTCCATGCCCCATGCCCCATGGCCGTGCGCCATGCCCCCATTCTACCTGCCACATCCATATATACGCCCACTTTTCGCACATTCTGTTTATATTTCTGGCGTTTCGTTTTGCTTTTAAACAAAGCTCATAAATTTGCGCTCGTTTTTGTTACGCATATTTATTATGTCGCTCGCACGCTCTGAGCTAAAAGCATGCCGCCCACACACACACACACACACACACAAACACACAGTCACACTTTTGTCGCCTGCCACGCCCCACGCGAATCACTGCGGCGCCCAGGTGCAAACTTCATTATTTACAGTCTGACGCGTCGGGTCGACGACAACGTGGATTATGTGCCACTTGGCAGGGCAAAAAGGATGAAGGTGTGGCAGCATTGGGGCCGCATCCTTTTAATTCTAATACAGCCACACCTGCAATAACAATAACAACAGCAGCAGCTGCCTGTGCTTTGCATTCTCATGCATTTTATGCAATTCGTTTACGCTCTGGCATTTCGCTGCCCATCTTTTTTCATGATAATGAATTGCACTTTGGCACACCTATTAACGGCACTGAGTGTGTCGCCTTATCACCTGGCACTGATTTCAGTGCATCGTACGGCGGGGGTTATCAATGCAACGGCTACAGCTGCCCCAAGGTTGCCCGCTGGCAACGTACCCAAGTCAAATAAGTAAAACATGAACAAGTTGGCACACACAAAGGCAAACACACACACATATACACTCAGACACACTTGCAAAACTTCTGGCACACTGCGATTGAACTGCCACACCTACCACGCCCCCGTTCAGCCCTCTCTGGGCGCTCATTTACAGCGTCCGGCTTAAAGCAACAGAAAAAGTTATCTTGTCGCACAAAAAGTGTTCACAAGCCAGCAAAAAATCAAAAAATGAAAACTTTTTGCCTTTGCGGTCATCCATCGATTTAGCGCATTAAAACTTTGCCCTAAATTTCCCATTTTCCATCTTTCCATCCTCCATTTGCTCCGCTTGCCTTTCAATATTTGGCTTTTGCCAGTGTCTGAGCCATTTTAAGCCGATTGTACTTTGAAAAACTCCTATATTATATTGTTATCAGTTAATAGATTTTCTAAGAATCAAATTAAAGAACAAATAAAAAAAAAAAATAATAATAATAATAATAATAAACAAAAATAAAAACAGTGCAGTTAATTCTAGCTAGACTTCAAAATCTATATATATAAAAGAGAGTTGTGTAAAAGTGTCTTAGCACTTATAACTCGAGATCTGCTGAACCAATTTTCATGGTTTTTGATTTGTTGGATTTGTCTCCGCCACGAGTAGGTCAGTAGATCTTTAAAATACTGAAAAAATTTGACGAATACTTGAGAAACGCGGTTTTTTCCCTAAAGATTCAAATTTCCATTTATACTCAGTAGCCTTGACAACAGTGACAGTTTCGGTCCTTTATAGAAGTAAATAAACAAATGTAGTCAGTCAGTCTACGGCACAGCCTCGAGCAAACCTGACTATTCAAAAAAAAAAAAAAAAAAAAAAAAAAAAAAAAAAAAAAAAAAAAAAAAAAAAAAAAAAAAAAAAAAAAAAAAAAAAAAAAAAAATAAACAAAAAAAAAAAATTTCCAAATCAAAAAGAAAAATATTTCAAATCAAAAATCTGCAAAAATTCAAAAAAATCAAAAGATTAAAACCTGACTGTTCAAATAAATAAAAAATTCAAAATTCGAAATAAAAAAAAAAAAGTTAATTATTAAAAATGTATTTTTGGCTTTTTATATTTTTGGACTTTTAAACTTTATAAATATTTCAAATCAAAAATCTGCAAAAATTAAAAAAAAAAAAATCAAAAGATTAAAACCTGACTAATCAAAAATAAATAAAAAATTCAAAATTTGAAATTCAAAAAAAAAAAAAAAAGTTAATTATTTTTGGTGCAGCAGATCTCGAATTATAAGTTTTGTAACAAACTCTACTTTGTTTTATATATATAGAGACTGTTAGGCGGTACGAAGTTCGCCGGGACAACTAGTGCTCTATAAATTTCTATATTATTATG